ATACTTGAATTCGCATAGCAGGTTATTTGTGTCTCCATCCTAATACCTGTTTTGCCCTATTTCATATTTTACTTATTTGTGTGTGACATGTCTGTCTCTCTTACTAGGCCATAAATATCTCAGGACAAGAACTATGCATCTCTCATTTTTGTTCCACTACAAATTATAACATATACCTTGCACAGACCAGACCTTCAGGAAATGCCTGCCAAGGCAGTGAATGGACAGACTTAATTAATATAAATTATTGTTTTGTGTACTCTGTTCTTTGTCTCTGTGATAGATCACTGAGTATAATCGACTCCAAAGCCATCCGAGTTGCTGTGAAGTCCATATATTTGTCCTTCTTTATGGCTGCATCATATTCCATTGTGTGTATGTACCACATTTTCTTTATCCAGTCCAGCTTCGATGGGCAACATGTTTTTGCCATTGGGTTTCACAATTCTTTAAGATTAAAATAGCATATGCTAAGGGAAGCTGATAGAACAAACACTACAACATGAAGAACTGGTGAAAGACAACAGCAAGAAAGGGAAAAGAACATCTGTGAGAAGCAAGGAGACATAAGAATTCAAGCTGTGTCAAGATCAAGGGCCTACGAGCCTTTGGGTCAACCCCCCTGAAGTTAGCTGCATGCAACACAGCAAAAACCCAGTCCCCCTAAAAAGATCTGGACTATCAGGGGAGGTTAGACTGTGTCATTATGTTAGTTTAAAGGCCAGAGACAGAGAAGTCATTCTTGAAAATATTTTCAATAAAGTAATTGCAAATTTTTATATGCAAATCAAATTAATACATGCTGGAAATCTGAAAAATTTGCTTTCACAGAACAGAGCATTTCCTAACAATACCAAGAAAAGTAACCTCTGCTATGGATCTTTTACTGCAATCTCACAATATTTGCTGAGTTCTCATTTATTAAGTGAAAGACTAAATGGTCTATTATATAACTTTGTGAAAAAGATGACTGGAAATATCATTCCATTCTATGCACCTGCCAGCCAACAAAATTCTCTGATTGAAAATTAGGAGAGGCCGGGCTCAGTGGCTCAGCCTGTAATCCCAGTACTTTGGGAGGCCAAGGCGAGTGGATTGCCTGAGCCTGCAGACTCAAGACCAGCCCGGGCAACTTGACGAGACCTCATCTCTACAATAAATCAAAAATTAGCCAGGTGGGGTAGCACACGCCTGTAGTTCCGGCTACTTGGAAGACTGAGGTAGAAGGATCGCTGGAGCCCAGCAGGTCGACGCTGGGGTGGCCGTGAGCGTGCCACTGCACTGTAGCCTGAGTGGTGGAGTGAGACTCCAACTCAAAAAAAAAAAAAAAAAAAAGAAAGAAACTTAGGAGAACACTTTGGCATGTGGCTGAGAAAGCTAGAGACAGATTTGAGCTGCCCCTGTTTGGGGTTACTCCAAACCAGGAAACCTTAGAAACAAAGAGGGAAAGAGCTTTTCTCCATCTTACCCTGAAAACAGAAATGCTCTGCTGCACTTCAAAGACTCATACAGGCCACTTCTGAAGCTTCTCCTCGGGGCCATTTCCTCCGGGTCTGCCCTTCTCTGGGTTAATGAGCTTGCAGAGGCAGCCCCAGCCCCTTTGCATTGCCCCGATGCACTCTTCAGGGTGCTCCTCTCCCTCCTGCTAGATGCTCTTGCTAAGGGTATTTTTTTGCTGATGAAGAAATTAAATTGTATAGAGACTGTATTACTTGAGGCATCCAGCAAGTAAGTTCAGTGCAAACCTGGTTCTGTTTGACTCAAGACATTAACCACTCAATAAATAAATGTTAGCCACTATAATCATTAACAATATTAGCAAATGTAATTATTTTTATATTTTTATTTTTTGTTTGAGTCAGAGTCTCACTCTGTTGCCCAGGCTGGAGTGCACTAGTAGCACGCTCACGGCCACCCCAGCGTCACCCTGCTGGGCTTAGGTGATCCTTCCACTTCAGCCTTCCAAGTAGCCAGAACTACAGGTACATGCTACCATGCTCAGCTAATTTTTTGGCATATTGTAGAGACGAGGTCTCACCAAGTTGCCCAGGCGGGTCTCAAATCAGCCTGGATTCAGGCAATCCTCTCACCTCAGCCTTCCAAAGTGCTGGGATTACAGACTTGAGCCACTGCATCCAGCCGATTATTATATATAATAAATATGTTTCTTTTTCTTTTTTAAACCGAAACATCTTTCCTTTCTACTTGGTGTTTACGTAGCACTTCTCATCAAAGTTCTAAACTGTAAAACCTAAAAATTTAAGACTTGTTACCTTAGAAACTGAATCAACAAAATTCAATTTATAAGAATTTGTATCTATCATGCAAGTTTTTGAAGGGATGAGACATACAAGGGGGGAATGCCAAAAAAACAAACAAATCCAGAATTATACTTTATAGGGAAGTCCCTTGTAGTACAGGCTTCTCATACCTATGAGGAGGGACCGAAAAAAGCCCAGAATTTATTTATTTTAAAAATGTGCAATTATTCTTACATGCTTAAACTTCTGTCACCTTCAAAGTATTTTCTGTTTGATGTGATTCATCTATCGAGACACTTTTTCCACTGCTCAAAACAGTTTTTGAACTCATCAGTCTCGATGCCTTTTAGTGCTTCTCCCATTTTTTGTTTCACCTCTTCTGCATCAGAAAAAATTTCCCTTTGAGCAGTGGTCCCCAACCTTTTTGGCATCAGGGACTGGTTTTGTGGAAGATAATTTTCCCACAGACATGAGCAGTGGAGGAATGTGCAGTCAAACCTCACCACTAATATTAATCTGTATTTGCAGCCACTCCCTAGGGTTAGCGTCACCACCTCAGCTCCACCTCAGATCATCAGGCATTAGATTCTCATAAGAGGCACACAACCTAGATCTCTGCATGTGAAGTTTGCAGTAAGATTCATGCTCCTATGAGAATCTAATGCTGCTGCTGATCTACCAGGCGGCAGAGCTGAGGTGTTAATTCAAGCAATGGGGAACAGCTGTAAATACAGATGCTGCTTCACGTGCTCTCTCACCACTCACCACCTGCTGTGTGGCCTGGTTCTTAACAGGTCACAGACCGCTACTGGTCTGTGACCCAGGTGTTGGGGACCCTTGCTTTTGAGGACTCTTTTCATCCAAAGAAACAAACAAGCAAATAAGTCACTCAGGACAAGATTGGGTGAATAGGGAGGGTGGGACATGGAGGTCATGCTGTTTTCGGTCGAAAATTACCAAACACTCACCTGTGGGTTGTCATGGTGGAAGACCCAGTCAGCTGTTTGCCACAACTCAGTAGGTTTCTTCCACAAATTGTGACACAACCCTCTCAAAACTTCCAGATAAAAACTTTGATAGACCATTTGATTCAGAGGAACAAATTTTGAGTGTACTACAAGGGGCTTGCCTTCCAAAAAGATAATTCTGGATTTCTTTGGGGTCCCTCCTTGTAAGTGCTCTAGGAACCCATTGGCATTAGTGTACCAGCTAGTGTTGTTGTGAGAGAATGTATTCAGCTTCAGTGAAAAAAAATTTTTTTTTGAGATTCTCTCCACGTGTATGCCCATTTCATGATGGGTGATGTCCGAGTGCACCTGCCCACACCATGCTGTGTTTTCAGCAGTTTTTAACCAAAAAAGGGCATGACCCTTGTGCCCTGCTCTCCTTGTTCACCTGATCTCACCCCAAATGACCATTTTGTTTGTTTGTTTCCCTGGATGAAAAAATTCCTCGAAGGAAAACGTTTTACCGATGTGGAAGAGGGGAAACAAAAATTTGCAGAAGCACTAAAAGGGATCAAAACTGACAAGTTCAACACTGTTTTGAGCAGTAGAAAAAACATCTCAATAGGTGTATTGCATCAAACGGAGAGTACTTTGAAGGTGACCGAAGTTTAAACATATAAGAATAAATGCACAATTTTTCATAAATCAATTCCATATTTTTTAGGGTCCTTCTTTGTGTAGTATGTTCAATGATTAAGCCATGGTGTTTGTGTGTATGTGTTTGTGTGTGTGTGTGTGTGTGTGTGTGTGTGTGTACACAGTTTGTTTTAGGCTTCTCTTTAGGGGCCTGAGCTGTGTACTAAGAAAGAGGTGAAAGAAAACTGGACAGGAGCCACAATGAGACAATAAGCAGACCTGGTTTAATAACTTCTGTAATGTACAGTCTGGTACAAGAGATGTGCAGCAAACATTTGCCATCTACTAATGAATGTTTCCAAGCAATGCCAATGTGATTTTCAGCACATTTTAGATTGTTTGGCAGATGCTAAATCTGTGCTATGTAGAACCTGTCTTTATTTTTCAAAGGGGACTTAACTCTGAATCTCATATCCTCATAAGTGCTCAGAATGGTAGTTATTGTTGTTAACTCGATGTCCATACAAATGGATTATAGACATATATATGCATGTGTGTATGTACATATAACATATATTATAAATATATGCTAGAAATTCTGAGGTTTTGTATTCTCTTACATGTTTATACTTCATGAAAAATGACTTTAAAAAGAGAATAAAGCAATCTTTCCTAAATCATTTTAAGTAGCACACAAAATTAGGAGTCACAAATGAGTTGAGTTTATCTGGATTTAGAAATGCCAGTACACTTTTATAACCTCTAAATGGAGGAAAAATATGTTTAAATCTATAAACCAGACCAGAGACCAGGTTTTTATGAAGCTTAGTTTGTACAATCTCAATCTTTAAGAGATGGAGATCTTAGTGTGAGACAGTCACTGAAGAAGAAAGATGGAAAATAGAACTTATGATATAATCTCGAATTTCATGGTACAGTCATTTACACAAATTAATAATGGAGTAGATTGTTGCTAATTAATAGCAAATAGCAAAATTAATTGTTGCACCACTGTGTATTTTTAACATGATTGCATTACTTATTTTCTGCTTATTGTCACAGATGTACTCAAAATTATGAGCTCTCAAGATAAGAAGGAGGGTTACAGGTTATCTAGAGTCCAAAAATATCTCAGCCAAGTTGTTATCCAGCCAAGACTTAATATTTCCTCGAGGTGGAAAACCCACCACCTCTCCAGGCAGCCTATATATACCATCTCTGAGCTACTTAAAAAATATAAAGAAAAGAGAAACAACAATTCCTTACCTGTGGCAAATACTGACTTGGAGCTTATAAAATGTCCATCTCTAACCTAAGGGTTAGACTCCTTGAAGTTTAATAAAAAGCTAATAATTTATAACTAGCAAATAAAACCCAGACTTGAAAGCAGCAGAGCTCCAAGTCCCACGCCAATAAAGCTGAGAGTTATAGACAAAGCCCAGAAACTGACTTTAGCAAGCTCCAAAAGCCAACCCAGGAGTGAGACAAAGCATCCTGGTTTTACAAATGTTAGACCAAAACAAACTGAAAAAGCAGGGGGAACATCAAAGAACCAGAATTTTGGCAGATCAAGATGATAAGCAGAAGGAAAGAAAATGAGCCAAAAATCTAATGTAAGCGTAGAATGGAATACTAATCTTACCAACCCCAACATCTGAATAGGTGAGCCAAAACCAAAAAAGCAAGGAATGCTACAAAAGCGTGAGATTAAAACAGGAAAATAAGAATGTGCTTCACAATTACCCTTGCTCTTGCCTTTATTGTATAAACGAACAAAATGGAAAACCTTCGACTGTTTATCTTCAAAAATGAGTGTCTGTCTCATCTGGATAACTGTCCTCTTTCTCTTTTACCTTCTTTGGTAGGTGTAAAATTATAGCATCATGGAGAACTACAGCTGGGACAGATCTTATACGCCCTCCTCGCTTCCATTTTGTGAACGCAAAATATAAACTTTCAGAGTTTCATCAAAGTGTTAGAACTATTCTCATGTCTACAGCAGAGAGATTTTAACTCTCCCAAATTTAAAATCCAGCCCTGTCCAAAGACAGAATTCATGTTCTCAACATTTCATCACTGGATAAGATCATTCACTCTAACTTACATGGAAAGAAATGACACAGAAACAGCCACACACACGCAATTTTTATTACGATTTTATTTGTAATCATGGTGCCTCTTACTATACCACAAAAGATTATAAATGACAATGTCTCATTGTTTTACTAAAGAGCAGAAGTTGGTGTATCTCTGGGCAGTATTGCCCAACAACTTGTCATTGGTTGATGATATTATAATAGAAATGAGTAGTGCTTATTTTAATAAATGACATGTTTGTGAACAGGTTACATACTGTTTGTCTTCTCTCCAACTTATTTTAGTGATTTTTAAAAATATTTGTATTATTTATCCATGCTTTTGAAGGTTTTTTTTTTTTTTTTGACAGTACTATTTTTGTATTTTGTTCCAGGGAATTCTTGGCTCGGGTTTTGCACTAAAAGTACAAGAACAGCATCGCCAGAAACACTTTGAGAAAAGAAGGAACCCAGCTGCCAATCTCATTCAGGTAAATGTCAATATGGTAGGTAGATGGCAACATCTGTCTCCATAAGTGTTTTTGGGTCATTTTCCAATTTCATTGCTTAGAAGAGATATGCTTCATTCTTAAAAAAAAAAAAAAAAAAAAAGTTAGAATTTAATTTACAGTCTTGGATTTGGGCAGGTATCACTCCTCTTCCAAAATAAAAACCTTGTGTTTTTAGCAAATTAGCCATATCAGCAAGGCCATCCAGAAGTTAGCAGTTGTATTGCTCCTAGAATAACTTAATACGTCTCATGAATTACTTAGTGACACATAATTGATCATTAAGTGATAGAGCAGAATAGGGCATTGTTTCCTACATTACAATTACTTTCTCCAGCCGGATGTATGTCACTGTTTTTGAAGAACAGCATGTTTGTTTAGAATGTCAAGGTTTAATACCTACAAAATTGCTTTTAATACTATTGAGGGCAATAACTTGAAATAGTTGTCCTATTTTAAGAAATGGTAGGATCAGAGTACATCAGTGTTTGAGAATATGAAACAATAAGCACATTATTTGAAGCTAGCTTGTAACATAGGTTGTTACTTAGTGTTTCATTTTCTTTTCAATGACTCAGGATTTGCTTCAGCACTGAAAGGAATGCTTCTCTATTTGCCATCCACAACTTTAGGGAATAGAGCTATCCTAGATTTCAGTTAAGGATCACAAAATATGCTTTTTGCTAGATCCATAATGTGGAGTTGACATTTAATAGTGCACAAAATAATTCTACAATTTAAGGTTTTCTCCTTCTTGCCTGGCAGTGGAAGCTTCAGGACTTCTAAATTGGAGGAGTTGGAATGGTGCTCCGCAGTGCTAGGAGACTTTGTCTTCATGCTACCATAACAAGCACATTGTTTTAACTCAGATTGTAGGCTTGAGTGGGTGGACTGGTGGGAGAAAACCACAGCATCCCTACCCTTAGCCTTTATCTGTGGCTTTGATATGCAGTGCCTACCAGAAATGCAGCTAGAGAAAGGAGTGTGGGTCAGTTACATCATGAACAAGATTTGTTTGTATCTAATCGCAAAATAAGGATATTAGATTTTAAACTAAGCTATTCCACAACTATTGACAAGATAATGGATCATTGGGCATGACTTCCAATGCAAACCACTGAGTCTCTATTTTTTAATTTCCATGTTTTAAAAGAACACAAAAGAGAAAGGAAAGTTTATTTTCTAAATGAAAAGACCCCTAAGTAGTAAGAGTTTAAGATCAGAAGCCAAACAATAATCAAGAAGATTAAAAGAGGAGTCATACACTTTAAGACACACACAGCATACCCCGAACTGCAGAATTCATAACCTTTCATCTTTTTAGCACTTCTTAACCGGTTATGGGAGTTTCCATACTTTTAATAAATGTGACTCTTTACTCCTTATCCTTAAATTTCTCTCCACTCTAGAACAATGATTCCAACCTGTGAATGAAAAAGGTATTCCATGGTTTCCTCTCATCCATCTGGGCACCAACCTGCACATGAAACCAATAATCCATCTTATGTATATAAAACCTCTTAGAATATCAGCTGCTCTGTTAGAAAGTGAGCCCATTGAGGGATTTCTCATGCATTTATCAGCTGTGATGATATAGAGCTGTGCTGCCTGATATGGTAACCCTAGCTACATTTAGCTATTTAAATTTAAATTAATTAGAATTTAAATTTTAAGCCAGGTGTGAAAACTCATGCCTGTAATTCCAGCACTTTGGGAGGCCAAGGTAGGAGGATTGGTGGAGTCCAGGAGTTCAAGACCAGCCAGGGCAACAAAACATGACCCCCATCTTGACAAAAAATGAAAAATTAGCTGAACCTGGTGGCATACACCTGTAGTCCCAGATACTTGGGAGTCTGAGGCAGGAGGATCTCTTGAGTCCAGGAGGTCAAGGTTGCATGGAGCCATGATCATGCCACTGCACTCCAACCTGGATGGCAAAGTGAGATCCTGTCTCAAAAAAAAATCATTTCGGCAGTGGCACTAGCCACTTTGCAAGTGTTAAGTATAAGTTGCTATTGGCTATCATATTGCACAAGGCAAATATAAAGAATAGCAGCAATAATCTTTCTGATCTGATTTACATTATTGACTACTAAATTGTGCAAAAACAATTCCCGATTGAACTTGAAAATGAATTTCTATTCCTGCAGCAAATCATTGAAGCAGGCATTTATATGACCACAGCCATCACAAGGCAAGCCTCCTTCACAGGTAACCCATAAAACATGGAGAAAGGATGATTGTATAGTTTTGTTTGGAGGCCTAGAATTTTATTTTATGGAACTGAGTTGTGTAATATATATTGTGATCATTAATTGAACTTGTAGATACATAGGCTTTGATGGAGTAAAATCATGAATTTTTCTTTTACTTAAAAACTCCAACTTATATATTGTTCTTAATGAAAGACTTGAAACATTCAAGAATACCTTTAAAATCTAATCATAATTTCACTAGTTAAAGTTGACTCTTAAAAAATGCTTCCTCATTTAAATGCAATTTATTTATTAGACATAGAAATAATAATGATTAGATTTATTCATTGTTCTTCCTGTATTCTTTAGACAAAATTAAAGCTTTATGCTTTGAAGACATATTGCACAAATTTATTTTTCAGGATGCACAGGTTTAAAAGCAAACTCCATTTACTAATCCATTCAATTTCTTACCCAACAAACCTGACTTAGTTTGCTGGATACACAAAGCATCGAGACCAAAAGCAATCTCATTTGTTTTCAGCAAGAGTCACTCTCTTCCCAAAAAAGCAACTGAGATGCCCAAATTGTTCCATCATTTGGTTGGTGAGAGAACTAAATTAACTAGCATTTGGCTTTTAGGGAAAAGTTTAAAACCCCAGCAGGTTGCAGCAAATTTAGCTGTGTCAATATCTTCTCATGATTCATTTAAATTAACTTTTCATTTCAAGTGGAGCAGTCTGGGAAAAGAAATCAGCTCTTAGTAATGTTTTGAATACTTGCTCAAATGTCACAACTTTTATTAATAATGCTGAAGACTCATGAAGTGCTTTTTAGTTTGCAGAGTGTTTCTAATACATTATGTTACTTGACCATCAGGACAAGCCTGGGAGGAGCTAGAACTCAAATCCCCACCATCTGAATCCAAATTCATTACCCCTTTTAAAAAGTAGTTACATCCTCATGTATACATTACTTAGCCTTGGAATTAGCACTTGAAGATTCTTCAAAAGTTCCATGCTAGAGGTTTACTTCTGGAGAGATAGGAACAGTTTAGGGCGGAGCCAAGATGCATTGGTAGAAACTGAAACAGGAAAATTAAGTGAAAGTTTGTTAAATAAGTGCTGATCGGTTTAATGCCCTTAAAGGAACAGATTAGAAGATGCTGCTTTGAGGAAGACAAGTGCCCCCCCACCAAAAAAAAAAAAAAAATATATATATATATATATATAGAGAGAGAGAGAGAGAGAGAGAAAGGAGAGAGAGAAAGAAAAATTTTGGCTTCCCCTAGTGAAATAACTAAGTCTTCAGCCAGTTACACTAAAGTCAGTCAATAAACTCAAGCCACTCATACATCTTTTTTAGTGCTTCAGTCATAAATAAGAACAGACTCAACAAACAATAACAAAAAAACATAAATGTGAAAAACATGACAGCAGGAAAAAAAAATAGAAGAGGAGATAAAGTTGTGAAAATTTCCCAAAAAGACAAAGACAGGAAATAAGACAAAAATGTTGAGAAAGTAAAGTTGAAGAACCCTTTCTGGAGTTCCAATATCCAACTGATTGGGTTGCATCAGATAGAGTGCAAGGAAACCAGGGGAGGATTTTATCAAAGAAATATGCTGTTATGACTCTCAGTGCTAGAAGACAGAAGTGTCCACAGTAAAAGAGTCCACCATGCCCAACACGATGAGCCAAAAATTTCCCGCCAAATAGAGAAATATCAGAACATTTTAAAAAGGGGTGGGCTCCTAAATGCTTTCTGAGCAGAACATAGTCAAAAAATTAAGAATCAGATTTCCCTGGACTCTGTCTGAGGTACCCCTATCAGTTGGGTATTGAAACTCCTGGAAGGGTCCTTCAATTATCTCACCTTTTTTTTTTTTGTCTTATTTTCTATCTCTGTCTTTTTATTCCACTTTCTGGGAGATTTTCACAATTTTACACCCTCCTCTATTTTTTTTCTTGGCATTGGATTTTTCCTTGGTAATTCTTTAATTAAATGATGGTGAAAAAATACTTTAAAAATTCTAGAAAAAAAATTATTTTCAACCTAAACTTTCATACCCAGTCAAGCAACTCATAAGTCTAAGAGTAGCACACAGACATTTTTTGACATGCAAAATCTCAAAAATTAGCCTACCATTTACCTTTACTCAAGGAGTTACTTAGTAGAATTGCTCTTCCAAAGCCAGTGGCTAAATCAAGAGAGAGAGAAATACGGAATTTAGGAAACAAGATATTCCACTCGGGAAAGAGCAAATGAAACTACTATGATGATAGGGAAGAGAAGTTATAAGACAAAGGCCACAGCAGGCTTTGAAAATAGAATGGGGAGTAGGCTGTGACCTCCAGGAAAAAAGTCTTCAAGGAAGAAAAAGAATAAAACGGATAGATTTCACAATGCATTTGACTAGAGGAGTTTTATAGATCCGGTGGAGAGAGAGGGAATGTATTTGTAATAGGTACATGTAGACAAATGAAGAAATTAAAATAGTACGATAATAACTAAAAAATAACAAAAAGGGGAGAAAAAGAATAGTTGTAGTACATCACATTATTGCACTAAGAATAATACTTACATGATCATAATAATGCAAACACGAAAGATTAAACCAAAAATTGTAACATAAAGATGCTGGAAGGACGAGAATAGAAAGAAAGGGCCTGAAAGTCGGCTATGTCATTATCTGCCATGGTAGGAAATTAACTGACAATGCCTAAAATTGAAAAAGCAAGAAACATAAGTATAAACTTTTTCTTTTTTCGAGTTGGAGTCTCACTCTGTCGCCCAGGCTGGAGTGCAGTGGCACACTCACAGCCACCCTAGCGTCGACCTGCTGGGTTCTGAAACTACAAGCATGCAATACCACGCCCAGCTAATTTTTGATTTATTGTAGAGACAAAGTCTCGCCAAGTTGCCTGGGCTGGTCTCGAACCCGTGGGCTCAGGCAATCCACTCGCCTCGGCCTCCCAAAGTGCTGGGATTACAAGCTGAGCCACCAAGCCTGGCTTAAACTTTAAAAAAAAAAAAAAGATTCTTAAAAATAGAAGCAACAGCTAGAAGAATCGAAGGAGTTGCCTCTAAGAAACAGAAATTTGGGTGAAGAAAGGTGGGAAAAGGGATTGCTGGCTTATATCCTAAATCTTTCAGATACCATGAAAAAATAAGTTCCATGTTAAGTTTACCTTTGGATGGTCAACTTGAACTTTGTGCATAATTTCCCAAAAGGATCAAATGTGCCATAGCTGTAATATTCCAGACAAGACAGACTAAATATTCCCTAAACACTGAATTATGCTGACTCTGTGCCTATAATTAGAGACCAAAGTTCAAATCTGTTTGGTTGCCTAGAGTACCAGCGTCACCTGATAAATGGTACATTTGGCTTTCACTTTGCTTCTTGTTGACCTGTCTTTTGGAGGAGATATACCATGTGAATTAACCCTAGGAAATTCCTCTGGGATGTTATCTTTCTCTTGCCAATCACTACATGATTTGGGCTTTAAAAATAGGAGCATCAGCTCCTGGATCATGTGGATGTGGGCTTGTAGTTAAGCTACTAGAAGCAACTAGCTAAGAGAGCACAGCTAAGGACAAGTTAACTTTTTCAGAGTGTGAGACTCGTGGAGTTACACTTTCCAGCTCCATTTCCAGCTGGGATTATAATGACTCATGCCTGCAATCCCAGCACTTTGGGAGGCTGAGGTGGGAGGATTACTTGAACCTAGGAGCTCAAGAACAGTCTGGGCAACATAGTGAGACCCCATTAACTAACTGTAGGCTTGTGATAGATGCCCCCTGCACCTTCTGTCCCTCTCACTTGCAAGGCATTTTGGGGAGAAGGGTAATGAAGGGGACAAGAACTTAGTTGCTGAGATCAATCTGATAGAAAAAGAGCAACAAGCTAGGTTTCATTATAGTGAAAATCTTCTATTTTCTCAGAGTTGCCTCTTTTGCCCCAATTCATTATAATACTAACGGGGAATGCCTTGGTTCCATTTTTTGTTGTATTGTTTTGGATTTTTTTCACTAGTGCTAATAATGCACAAACCTGCTATATGTTTCTAATTCTACATATGTCTTGCTTTCAAAGTATCAGAATTCACATATATGTGATACCTTCTCTGGAAATTGTTTAATTAAAGTAGCCATCTATGCCAGCATAGCCTTGGAGGGTCTCTGGGTCTCACCACTACAGAAATCATAAATCCATGTGTTTTCATTGTTGTTACTCTAAATCATTCTATAAATTGTGTGTGTATAGTATTTGCAAAAATTAACATTTCAGGATAATGCAACAGCCAGGCATTTTGGGAGGCTGAGATGGGAGGGTTACTTGAGCCTAGGAGTTCAAGAACAGCCTGGGCCACATAGTGACCCTATCTTTAAAAATAAAAATTAGCTGGGCGTGGTGGTGCACACCTGTAGTCCCAGCTCCTCAGGAAGCTGAGGCAGGAGGAGTGCTTGAGCCCAGGAAGTCGAGTCTGCAGTGAACCATGATCATGTCACTGTACTCTAGTTTAAGTAACAGAGTGAGACCCTTTCCACTCAAAAAAAGAAAGATGATGCAATGATAATTGCTTTATTCTCTGTAAAATGCCGAGATGCTTAGCACAGATTGCCACAGATTTGAACATAAATCATGTAAATAAGACTCCAGGCAAAGAACCCTGCTTCAACCACTTAAAACTTCCATAAAAAATTAAAAAGTTCCTCAGGTCCTATTATGTGTTTTTCTAGTTTTTTTCTACCACTTCCTAAAATTTTATTGAAGTATGATGCATATTCAGAAAAGAGTACATAACCTAAAAGAACCGAGCATCCTAGGTACACTTTTCTCAATCCACAAGAACAACCATAGTGTTATCTTCTAATAGCATAGATTCGTTTTCCCTGGTTTTTGTACTTCATGGAAGCATATTTTTTTGTGTCTCGTTTTTCTCACTCAACATTATTCACATGATAATGTTTATTAACAATAAATCTTTATTGTTGAATGTAGTTGTAGTATATAATTGTCATATAGTATTCCCATTGTTTACATATATCACACACTTTCTATTTGTTCTACTGTTGGGCATATAGTGCATATATTTTTGTAACCATATATAAGCCTATCTGTTGAGCATAAGATTTAGGAGTGGTAGCTGTATCTTAGGATATGTATATGTGTGTTCAGATTTAATAGATCCTGCCAGACAATTTTCCAAAGTAATTATGTCAATTTTTAACTCTTTTATTCAGCACACATTTATTTAATGATATTCTCAGGAAAAGGAATACTATTAGATCACTTTTTTCTTCGTTGTAGATTTCAAAATCACGACTAATGGTTCTATAGTAGGGATATGACCCATTCAAATAAACTTGCCACATAAAATAGAATGCTTTGATTAATGAATTATAATAAAACATTCTCTCTGAGGAGATTAGAATAAACACAGTCGCTAGAGATGTTTACAAACTCATTATAAAGGAAGAATTCTACCAAAATCTATTTAGGAAACTAAGTTCAGGCAGTCTCTCAAATGGACAGTTCAGATGGAAGCTATTCCAACAGCAGTCTTTAAGCAGTCAGCAAAAATCACAGTAAAGGAACTGACTGTGATCAAGGGCCAAGCACTTGAGATATTGCCCCAACTCTACTAATCTTGTATAGGCCTCTTCATTTGTCTGAGCCTTTATTTTCTCATCTACAAAGTAGGATTCTTAATCCACGCTTTAATTGTGAGATCACGTAAAAATACTTTGTATTATTTACATCCGGTCTAATCATATGAAATAAACAGAGCTTATGTTTTACATCAAAGGGCTATAAACATATTTTAGATTATGACATTAAATCCTTAGGTGCTTTCCAATTACATTCTCAGATAATGCATTTTCTCCATGTTGCTTTAGCTCTGCTTCTTGTTATCACTGTCTTCATTTTTAGCATTAGAAGTATTGTATAGTTCAACTTCAGGGATTTCACTAATCAAATCATTAACGTGCCATGGTGGTCATTAGTTGAATAATTAGTTTACTGGTTGCATAGTGGATTTTCTGTAGTCCTTTGCCTCTATCTTATCAAATATTGATTAAAGTTCAATCCCAGGAATGCACATTTGTACTCATTTAGTTTACCTAACTATTATCTGGGACATCGATATTTATTAAACCAATCAAGCATTACTTTTTTGTTTCCCATCATATAGTATCTTTGTCTAACCAATTCGAAATTGCATTGTGTTATATTTTTGGGTACTTTTTCCTTTGGTGTGGGTTGTTTTGAAAATCAGTTCTTATGTGGCACAATATATTTAACAGAAACTGAAAATGTCAAAGTAGGCTAAGTATGAAGAGCAATCGATCCTTAATGTGTAGTAGCTTAATGGTATCTTTCATTTTGTTCTGTCTCCTGCTCTCTTTTTTTCGTTTTCACGTCCTCGTGTGTGCCCCTTGCAGTGCGTTTGGCGTAGTTATGCCGCTGATGAGAAGTCTGTCTCCGTTGCCACCTGGAAGCCACACTTGAAGGCATTGCACACCTGCAGCCCTACCAAGTAGGTATCAGTTTGACAGCTGGTGCTGTAGTTGAGTCTTTTCAAGTCTGTTAAGCAAACCATACACACAAAAAGTGTCGGCGTTTGGCTCATCTTATTTGCTGTTGTTCTTAGACTGAAAGCAGTTTGATGGCATTTCGGGCACAAAACTAAGTAGAATCAGTATTATTCCTCATGATCCAGAGACTATGATTAAAAATTAAAAGAATGTAAAATTCTGTAGAGATTTATTTTTACTATTTCTTGCTTACTTTCTAATATGTCATTTCATAAAGTCCACTGGAATTTGGAAAAACTAAATGTAAGAAAAAAAGATAGAAATTACTTATCTTCCATCCTTCACCTGACCCCAGGAGGGGAGTGCTTTGAGAGTAATATATCTTTACACATTTAAGACTCTCCTGGAGACAGTCCTCAAGCTTTCACTTGCATATCAAACTCAGGTCAGTAGCACAAGAAGGGAAGAATCAGATCCTGAAAAGATTACAATTTACAATGAGGCAGTGGGACCACTGAGACTAAAATTTGGAATTAGCCTTCAGAATTTTAAAGTAACATCACTTTAATTCAAATGTCATTGGCCTAAGTAACTCACCCAGCCATACCTAAACTCAAAGGGAATGAGAAGTGCAGCCCTACCAGGTGCCTAGAAGGAGGCGGGAACCAAGAAAAGTATGAGAAGACATAATGATTGCCACAGTGATCTGTACTTTAATATATATATATAAAGAGAGAGAGAGACTTTAGTCCTGGGACCCTGGACTCCAGTTCAACCAGCTGAGTACATGTTACATCATAATCACCATCTAATTAAAGAAGTCCTCAGTGAAGTACCAAAGCAAGTAAGTCATGAGAAAGGCTTTCTGTGAGTCGCCCAGTTTGATTAGGATAGTTGGTGACTTGAGTTGTTCAAAAGTTTTATGTTTTGTTTTGTTTTGTTTTGAGTTGGATTCTCACTCCTTTGCCCAGGCTGGAGCACAATGGCACACATGCTCACGGCCACCCCAGCGTCAACCTGCTGGGTTCTGGCGATCCTTCCACCTCAGCTTTCCAAGTCGCCAGAACTACAGGCACATGCTACCATACTTGGCTAATTTTTGATTTATTGTAGAGACAAGATCTTGCCAAGTTGCCTGGGTTGGTCTCAAACCCACAGGCTCAGACACTCCACTTGCCTCGGCCCCCCAAAGTGTTGGGATTACAGGCTGAGCTACCGAGCTCAGCCTCAAAAGTTATTAAATTGCTCATCCAACTTAGTGTTTTAGAGCACTGACTGTTCTCCTTTATAGCCCAACAAAACCTTAATCCTAGTGGCTTCATGGAATTCAAGGCACCTAACTCTCTGACTCAGGAAAACCACTTTGTTGTTCTTGATCCAGAGGGATATCAGCTGGGAAATACTCCCCAGGCAGTGCTGTCTGAATGGAGGCTTCTGATGCAGCAGAATGCACTGTTGGGAAGCCCCAAATCTATGTTAGATCACAGGATTAGTTACTTTGCTTTCCTGCCCTGCTCTGGGGCCAATTTTCCCATCCAAGATGATTCCTAAGCTCTAATGGGATATGCCTCCTAGACATTGGTGTCTAAAACTCTGTCAGCACCTGGGACAGAGGTATTCATAGAACCCCAGGATTTTAGCAGAAAGAACCTTAGCAAGCATGGATGCTGTTGAATGCATGTGTGAATTAGAATCCTTTTTTTCATTTAGATCTTGAAATTTAGATGAATCCCTTTTATTAAGTATTAAACCCTTTCAACATTTTGGTATTTTAAAAAAATTGTTAAAGGCTGGGTGTGCTGGCTCATGCCTGTAATGCTAGCAATTCAATCAAGAATTTCTTGAGCCCAGGAGTTGGAGACCAGCCATGGAAACATAGCGAGACCTTGTCTCTACAAAAAAAAAATCAAAAAATTAGCCCGACGTGATGGCACATGCCTATAGTCCCAGCTACTCAGGAGGCTGAGTCAGAAGGATCACCTGAGCCCAGAAGCTTGAGGCTGTGGTGAGCCAAAATCTCACCACTGCACTCCAGCCTGGGTGACAGTAAGATTTCAGCTCAAAAATAATATACAAAAGAACGTAATGTCAGCGCCATCTATTCCTTGGGGGTATGTATCAAAAGTGGGAATCATATAAAAATTGCATTTCTTATCTTTATGAAGTTTGCTAAGTAAATGTAAAAGAAGAAGTTTAGTAGGAAAACTGAAAGGATTCTCAACTGACCTAAAAGAGTGTCTAGTGTCATATGTGATTATTTGGCTTCCCATTTACTGAAGTTTTTGGATTAAAAGTTATTCTGAAACCAGGAAAGAACACTTACTAATGAGCCAAACTCTCCCAGCAAGTCAACTATTACTTTACTCACACAATTTCTTTCTTTCCTCTGATACCGTCCTTGTCTTAAGTGTGGGTGGAGGTGGAGGAGGATTTATGCAAACATCTGCTCATCCTTCCCCCTACTCTCCTTTCTCTGAAACATCATTATCCTTGGGCCTTAGCCCCATTTACTAAAGAACAGTTATTTATCCAGAATGACACAGCAGTCAAATTCATGGGAACTTGGACTTCCTAACATCTCATCCCTCTAGCAGTGCTTCACTTTTTCAAGTTGCAGTAGTTCTTAAACTTTGTCGATACTGTTCTTTGTTAAGCCAGTGAGGATGTGATAAAAAAAAACTATGAGATCTTTCCCAAAAAAAAAATTCAATGCACATGCACACAAAATCAAAACTTTGCCCACAATTGTAATGTTTTCATAGACTCCCTGAAGCCAAGATCAGAACCTTTGCTTTAGGAAGCAAACCTGCTTTAATCAAGTTTGCAGGTTTGTAAGGAGAATAATTTACAATGACTTAGAGGGATATCTTTACATTTATAACTGGCTGGCCTACTGAATGCAAAGCAATGTAGTAAGAAACAGACAAAAACTATTTTTTATTTAGGTGGGTTTTCCTTTAGCATCCGGAGTCTAAGAACTTCTGAAGGAAAAGATCACTCATTCAATCATGTGTTCATTCAGTCAGCCTTCACTGAACACATATGATGTGTAAGGCACTGTTCTAAACACAGCGAATGCAACAGTTGGAGAAAAAGGCAAACAAGTTAGAATCTCAGGCCTCGGGAATATGTCCAAGGGATACTGGGATAGACAATAATAGTAAGATATAGAATGCATCAAATGACATCAAATAAGTACTAAGGAAAAAAGTAAAATGGGGGAGGAATTTAGGGAGCACAAGGGACTACAATTTTTAAAAATGACTAGGGAAAAGATCATATTATCAACAGCAGCATCACCCCCATCATTATCATTTTATCATTAAAAACACCAACCCCATGCTCTTGTTTCCCACAGTTTTAGAGACACTATGGCGTGCTTTGACTCCACAGCTTTAACCCTGGGAGTAGAATGAGAGAGAAGCCTAGGAAACAACCATGCAGGGAACAGAGGTGCAGGGGAAAGGGTATGCTGTGTCCACTCAAACCTCCCAAGGATGCAGCCCAGCAGTTTCTTATGCTCCCTTTTCTGGCCTAGTTTGTCTCTTACATACATACTAGAAGTCTTAGCAGGGGCTGTTTCAAAGGTTTGTTTTAATAACAGGAGGATTCATTGAGGGAAATATTTTTCTTGATTTTCTTCTCAAAGAAAGTGAAGCCCATGCAAAGGGTGAAACTCAGGTAAATATGCTATTCTAGGGAATGAGTCAGATATTTTATAAAGCTATGGAGAATGTGAAACTCCAAAAATGCCATGCGGTAATGTTAGGAAGTCAGAACTTAGAGATTATCTAGCCCACTGCCTTTGAAATACTCATAAGAAAACCAAGACCCACAAGAAAGCAAAATGCCTGCCCCAAAGGACACAGTTCGTTTGCAAAGAGTAGAGGCCCTCACCATGTTGCCTAGACCTCAAGTTGCCAAGATAAGCTATCAAAAACAGTAGACTACAAGAATTATAATAAATTTTCTAGGTACCTGATTTACCCGAAGGAAATTTATGCTTTATGCAATACCAGAAAACAAAAATCTGCCTCAACAAGTGACCAAGATTTAAAACCACAGTCACACGTTAATGAATCCAGATTTGGAAACCCAAAAGTCCACCCAAAGCACAGGGACTACAGCTACATTGAAACCAGCAACATTCTAAGGGCCTTTGCTAGTGCCAGTTAGATCAGAAGCACTTTTTCTTAACTGTGGATAACTTTGGCTAATAAAGAATCTGTGGTTTGGGGTTGTAGGTGGGCAGTGTTGACTTTGCCAAGTGAATGTTGTGCTGTCTCAGGTCTGTGAACAGAGAACATATGTTAGCTAGTTGGGTACATTCATTATAAAGAACATTGCTTTTGTGGATCGTGCATGAAAAGAGTTACTTAAGGTAGCTAATTCCCCAGTCTCCAGTGCGGCTGTTATCAAGTGCTATAAATGTATTCACCAGTTTATCATCATTTCTCTTCTGTCTGCACACATCTGAAGGAAAGAACAAGGGGAAGCATCCAGCAGGTTTGTGATTTCTCTTTTGCTACATGTTTATTTATAAATCTGATGCCTAGCAGATATTTTAAATGTGTCTCATGTGAGTAAAATTGATCCACAGATACAAGATGATTATAAGTGACCTTTTACAAAATTGCCTGCAAAGGTTGCTATTTTATTGATTATTCCCCACCACCACCCCCACCCCCAGAAGCAAAGTGTCTTTCCCTAACTCACTCACTGCTTTTTTGCAGTCTGCAGGGCATGGGACATTCTCAAGGGAAAATAATTATGGTCTTTGATCATTCCTTGCTGCCATTTTCCCAAACAGAAGTCTTATCCAAATATTCAAGCATAGTAATCTAGAGAGTAGAAGAAATGAATTTTATCTCTGAATGCTATAGGCCCTGGCAGCACTCTAGGATATACTCTCCTTCACTAAGGTACTTTTTTTGGAGTGAAGAATAATTTTATTTGAAAGAGGAACATTGTGTACAGGAGATGAGAACCTTCTCTTTGTGAC